AGAAATGGAACGAGGGAGATTCATTGTGAGTAGAGTGTGAGGGATGTAAGGGGCGCGGGGACATGGAAGTGCCAAGGGCAAGAAGTATGGTGCCAAGGAGGGGAGGCAGGGGAGGCAGAGAAGGGTGTGAAACACGCAGTAGAAGTTGGCAGGGTTGGGAAGGTGGAGGTAGATGGAGAGTGGGATGGTGCCATTCAGCTGCTGGAGATCAACAAAGTGGGGCAGGAGGTAGTCAGGCCAGGAAGACAAGGGGTAAGTTCTGGGATAAAACAGAGAAGAGTAGATACATGGATGAGGGTTAGTGTGGTGTGGGATGTAGTTTGGGAGGGGTTGAGGGTCGTAAAACACTGTCCAGTTAGCGCTCACTGAAATCTGGATAGGAATGTCAAGCCTGGCCTACAATGCAGGCAGAGCATAAGGGTTGGAGTGGAGAGCGTGGTCAGGATGTAGGTCAAGGATCTAGAGGTGTATTTCAACAGGTGACTACGTTGTCACTCCCAGCTGTAATTTACTAACCCTTGTCCCAGCGGTAAGCTTTGCCTCTTCTCTGTGCCTGCTCTGAGATGCTGTGCCCCTGACCTCTCCTAGATCACCATGTGTGATGATGAGATGAACTGCTCTGGATCTGGAGGCCCCGCCCCTAGGGCCAGCTTTGCTGTGAAATCCCAGGAGGCTGCTTATTAATGTCTTCCGTTTTCCTCTGCCTCCAAACAGGGGCCGGGGGCCCTCTTTCTGGCTTTAAGAGTTCTGGGCCAGAGAGAATGCCTGAGCAATAACAAGAACCACCACTTAATTTAAGACTCCTGCCCTTTGCCCAGTACTTCAAACCCCTTACGTTTAGTTCCCATTATCTCCAGTGTTAGCCCGACAGTCCTGCTTGACAGGAAAGCTGTGGCAGGTGGGAGGAGGGAAGGCAGTGAGGCAGAAACAGCTGCCAGGCCGGACTGGAGGAAGAGCAGGGCCCCAGTGGGTATGGGCAGAAGGCAAGGTGCTGGCTTTGGCAGTCCCCACCCTCTCCCTCAGTTGGGGTGTTGAGGCCAAACCTCTTTCCTTAGCCTCTCCCATCCAACGCTGTTGATCAGGGAGCAGGCTCTACTTTAACCTCTTAACCTCTGTTCTGAGGCAGACCTTTGAGGTCACCTGATCCAATTCCTTCCTCCATGCAAATAGAGTCCTCGGTCGGTCATCGCCGTGGCATTTCACCCAGCAGTCCACTTGTATTGGGCCAGATACTTCCTGGGGATAGGAGCTCTAAGGCAGTCTGTTCCTTCTCACAACAAAAACCAGAAGGGAGAGTGTCTGATGTGCTAAGCCTAGATGCTGTACAGACTTCACATTAATACTGAACTTACGGAGCTTTCCTGATGAATAAGCCCCATTTGACAGATGAAAAAGTGAGGCTCAGAGACTTGAGGTCCATAGGTTCAAGGTTACACTTGTAAGAAGGGAAATCTAAGTTGGAATGCAGGACTTTCTGTGAAGTCCCTCGGGATCAATCAAGACATGCATACAAGGACAACCCTTTTGAGGCATTAAATCTGAGACCATACCTTCCTGAGCCCCCTCTTTCCCAAGTCAAACTCCTTTAACTCTCTCCGGGGAATTCAGGCTCTAGCCTCCTTCTCAACCCCATCAGTTGATCCGTCCCAGTATCAAACACGCAAGCTGCCAGGTGGGTGTCAGACAGTCTGGAGTGGATCGACACTAGCAAATCCTTCTGCAACTAGCTGATTAGTGCAGCTAATGGCTGCCAAAAGAACTGACGATGTCCCTTCTCTTAGTCCTCTTGGCCTTCTTGGAGGAAGAACTCTGAGAAAAGAAGCCAGAGTTTGCTCCTCATTCTCCTCACCCTGAGTGTTCTGAACAGAGAGGAGGAAAGAGACAGAAGTGGGAAAAGCAATCAGCAGCAGGCAGGGGCAGGGCAAGATTAGGAGGATGGAGATGTGGGAGGGGATTTGTATGGTAACCCTGGGCAAGGCCGAGGGAGGGACTGTGTGAGTGTGTGTGTGTGTGTGTGTGTGTGTGTGTGTGTGTGTGTGTGTGAAGGAGGAAGGGATTCACGGGGAAATAAGGAAGTATCATATCATCCTCAGACCTAGGAGAGGCCAGTATGGGGATGGGCATTGCCTCGGGTTAGCCTCATCTCTGTTATGCGAGAGGAAGTCAGTCGCACATTAAGGAAATGTTGCAGCTGGTACTAAATTGGGAGGTGTCACAGGCAGCAGCGAGGGCAGGTATGATTCTTGGGGCCCTGTGTGGCCCAAAACAGGGGCAGACATCTCAGAGGCAGAGAAAGGGGTTTCTAGGGTCACATAGGAAGGATCTGACCAAGGCACTTAGAACAAGGGCCCTGGGAATAGGGGGTCATTTGGCTCAAGAACCAGTCTCCAGACTTGGTTTACAGATGTAGAAGAAACCTTCTTATCCTCCTAGGATTTCAGATTGTCACTTCAGAGGATTGTAGGTATGGGGCATTATCCCCCACGGGATCCCACTTGGGATGTGGGCTGGAAAGGAGGGCTCTGAGCTCAGGGGAAGGCTTCTCAGGGTGAAGAAGGCCTGTGAGAAGGTGGGGTGAGTGGCTGAGGAAATGGGGACCAAACTGCCTTTCCCTTTCATCCCATCAGAAAACGGGACTAAAGACTACAGGTTTGGGCCTCAGCTGGAGGAGAAAGCTTTGGAAGAAGTGGGAAACACAGAGGAATCGAGAAGTTGCCACAGCCCTGTTGCCAGCATAAGACAGGAAGAGCTGGAGAACTCTCACTCGGGCTGGAGAGGAATGATCCAGGAGAGAGGGCCCGGGGAACTTGATAGGAAGCCAGGGAGGGCAAAAGCAAGGATTTAGCATGAGGACAGGGAGCTGGAGTGCTGGAATTCCTGCTCGTTGCTGTGGGGCAAACTGTATGACCCATATGTACCTCAGTTTCCTCATCTGTAAATGGAGGTAACCTAGGTAGTTGTACTCTCATAACAAACGTGAACAACTGAAACATTACATCTAAGCCAGGTGTTAAATTCTTAGTACAAAATGCTACTAGCCATGCATTCCCATGTAAATATCACAAAACATTCAAGACTTTGGCAGGGCAAGGATATTTTTCCTGCATTACAAATGAGGAAACAAAGGATTAGAGGAAGTGAAATAATGCGCCCCAAAGCAAGCTGCTAACTAGCCCTCGACAGCGGCCAGAAACAGAGCGAACCACTGCCTCCTCGGACACCAAGCTGCTTTGCATCAGCAACCAATGCGAGGGATTTTAATTCAGTGTGAGGTCAGATGGAGCTTGGAGCCAACTATAGCAGGAAGAAAACCCCATAGAAAAGTTGTGCCATGGTTTTCATTCATTTTGGATATTGAAAAAGAACGGTTGTGGCTATAGGCTTGGAAAGAGGACTGCAAGATATCATTTATTCTGTCTGCTAGGGGACAATATCTCTGCTCTCACCAAGGGTATGTCGGTGGCAGGCAATTAGAGTTCGTGTCTCTAGCTCTGTATGACAAAATGTGTCTTTCCTCATGCGATTGTACGCATGTCTCTGACTCCATAGGGAGATGTGTGTGGCATGGTGCCTGCTTTGACAGCACTGCTTATGAAAGTGGCAAACCTCACTGTTTCTCTGGATGACTTAGTCTGGAGTATCGCTGGTGGTGCATGGCTGTGTATGTCTGTCTCTCTGTCTGTACACCTTTAAGAAGTGGAATATCTCATTTGGTAGTGTGAGTGAGGCAGTGAGTCAGCTGAGGCTGAGCGAGGCGGGAGGAGACTGCTAGGTTACGAGAATAGGAAAAGGAAGAAGGAGAAAGTGAAGTCAGAATCTAGGAGCTACTCCTTCCCTCCCCAGTCCTCCACCCCAAATCCCTAGGGGGCCCACAGAGAACAGCAGAACCTTGTAGAAGTCCACAGAAACAATGCTTGCGGGAAGTGCTTGCTGCCTCTTCTCAAAGCCTGGGGAGGAGAAGATCTAGACCAGGGGGCAACTGCCTTACTCTCCAGCTGGTGGCTCCCAGCTCCAAAATGTATGAGACCCACCTGGTCTCATTGTCACTTGACCTTTTTGACCTTGCTGTGCTCTTTCTTCCCAAAGCAGGCCACCTGGCCAGGCAGGAAAAAAAAAAAACAGGGGAGCAGCTTCAGGCCCCAAATGTGCACAGCCCCACCTACCTACTATACAGAAAAACCCGACTGAGGGTCAAGAAATTTCTCAACACCCAGTTCTTCTGGAGGAAAGTCTCTTCTACAGTTGTTTGCCCCCTGGTTTCCTCTAGATGCCCATCCCTAGCAGCCAGTAACCCAGCTTTTCTCGTCACTAGCCAGGAGCCCTGGGAGTTTTTGCTTTGTGTTGCACCAACCTTCCATGGCCCCTCCACAAGCTGAAAAGCCCTGTTCCCCCGAGCGTTCTCTCATCAGAATTCAGAAGCCTACAGGTTCCCTCCTTAAGAGAAGACAGGCATCCTTGGGCTCCCCTGTTTAGGATCTGGCCAGTATCTTGGGTTGTATAAGGTCAACAGTGTAATGTACCCTGTCACCAGGCGTGGTCTGGTCTCTCATCCATTGGCAGGAACTAAAGGGTGAGGATTAGGTAGTCAAATATTCTTCCTCTTACTGTACACCCCCCTCCTTCAAAGCCAGTTCCAGAATTAATTCTAGCCGAGGAATGGGGTTTAAGGCCAACCAGGATGCTGGAGACTGGGGAGCACACTCCCAATCTCCCCTCAACCACTTTGTCAGTCCAGAGCCCCGCTCCCCCTCATGCGGGAAGGGAAGCAGTGCACCAGAAGCTCCAGCCTTAAAAGGTTCAAACCTTAAACTCGAAGAAGTTGACCCAAATCCCTACGGGTCCTTCTCTAGGGAGGGGATCCAGGTGACACAGTGCTACACTGGGAATGGTGGGAGTGGTGTGATGGATAGAGAGGGAGCCCCTTTTTTCCCCCTAGTCCCACTGCCACAGAAACTGCCTCGAGCCAGGTAGCTGTCGTGGCATGGGCCATCAATGCCTACCTTGCAGCCTTTCGTGCAGGACCGGATAGAGTACTCTTTTGCCTGCAAGTATTTATGCATCACGAGGTCGAACTCATCATATTTTTCCTGAGCATGTCGGTCCAGTCGCTGGTACGCCTCGATGCAGTTGTTACATACCTCCCAGGTCCCGGAGCCCGGGCTGGCCATTACGGCCAGCAGGTCCCCCAGCAGGGTGTCCAGAGTGCAGTCCAGTCTTTCTGGGCGGTCCATGCCAAGCAGCAAGTCCCAGACTGTGTAGGTGTCGCAAAAAGAGAGAGTAAAGTTCCGAAAGTGGCCTTTGAGCAAGTTCTTTTTGGCGGGGGGGAACTCAGCCGGGGTATGAGAAGGCGCGTCAGGGGGCCGCAGAGGGGGAGCCGGGGTGGTCGGTTCAAAAAGTCTCTGCAAATATTCCAATTTGGTGCAAGCTGCGTCCAGCCCCGTGGGCTCTGGGACACCACCGCAGACCGGCCCGGGGCCGACGGCGGGGGCGGCTTTGGTCAGGTTGCGGTATCGCGGGCTGCAGGTGTCCGAGGACGCGCTGGACTCGCCCTGCGACGGCGGTGAGAGCGGCAACACCGCGCGAGGAGGCACCCGCTGCCGCTCGCGGCCGGCCCCCCAGGGCGGCCGCAAGGTGCTGCTTACCTCCCTGCCCCGGGGCCGGGCCCCCGCGCACAGCCACAGATGGTCAGCGAGCAGCACGGTGAAGAAGAGCAGGGACGCCAGGGACAGTCGCCATCGCTGCGCCCGCTCAGAATCGGCGCAAGGTTTGTCGCTCGACCTGGGAGCCCAGCAGCAGCAGCAGCAGCAGATACTCAGCGCGGCGGCGTCTTTCCCGGGCCACATCCAAGCGCCCCTGAACATATTTCAGGGGGGTTCGGGCTGGAGGGAGTAGGTAGGCGCGAGGCCGGACGGCCGTCTCAGAAGGGCGGGTTGCGCACCGCTCCGCGCTCCTCAGCGCCGTCCAGGCTCTACCTCGGGGGCTGCATGGCGAGGCAGGCCAGCCGGCCCGGGGGACCCCGCTCAGATCGGAGTCGCGGGGCGCTCTCGGGTCGTCTCCGCGCCCCTCCCGCGCTCCCTCGCTCCCTCGCTGGCAGCCGGGGCGCCGCCTCCCGACCCGCTAGGCGCAGCCCGCCGTCCCGGCGGGGGGCGGTGCGGGGCACTGGGGCGGTGGCGGCAGTGGCGGCGGCGCCGCACTCATAATGTCGGGTCCCTCGGCTGCCCCGGGCTCCGCGCCACTTCACTCCGTGCCACCGGTGCCCTCCCCGGCTCGCACTCCGTCCCGGCCGTCTCGGCTCAGCAGCGCGGCTCTGCGCCCCTGAGCGCCGCCGTGCGGGCCCCGCCGCGCTCCGCTCCGCTCCACTCCGCTCCTGTCGCCCGCGCCGCTCCTCTCCCGCCCGTCTGCCCGCTGCCCGCTCCGTGCAGCTCCCTGCCTCGCTCGCTCGCTCGCACTTCTCCTAGGCCGGCCCTTCGGGCTTTGCTCGAGCTCTGGCCGTCCGCCGGGGCCGGTCCCGGGTCGCCTCTGCTCCTGCCTCGGCACCCGCGGCTCCCGGAGTTCCGGCTCGGGCGGGCCACCTGGCTCCCCGCAGCGCCCCAGACGCCCGGACGCGGACGCCCCGGCTTTACTTAGTGCGCCTCTCGCTTCCGCCTCTGCTTCGCACCGCTGTGGCGGCCGCCCAAAGGCATGGCCCCGTGGCTCCCGCTGGCCATGCCCCCTCAGTCTGTCGCCATCTTCCGCTGTGCGGAGAACACCTTGAGAGCCCGTGTGCGAGTGTGTTTGGGGGGGAGCGGGGCGGAGAAAGAGGCACCGGGAGGAGGAGGGAACGGGACTGGGGCCCCGACTGCGCCTGCGCCTCAGGACTCCCCCCTCCCCAACCCCAGCCCCCGCCGGCCGCAGCCTGTGCTGTTTGGGGATGTTTCCAGTCCACCCCCAACTCCATTCACTTCAGCGCCTCCGTTCATCCGACCGCTCCCCGCGTGCACACGCCACACGCAGAGTCCCAGGCCTGGCGCTCCCCTTCCCCCCACCAAACCGGCGCCCGCCTCCCTCCCCAGGACCGCCCCTCGCTCCCCCCGAGGGCTAGGGGACTTCTGAGGGTGATTCTAAGAAGCAGGAGGCATCTCCTTAGGTTCTTGCTACCTCTCTGGGTAGCGTTGCCCTCGTCCTCTTGACTAGGGGACACTGGAGCCGGTTGCGGATCGGACCGGTCCGGACTCCCTAACTCCACTGACGCCCTCACTGTCCTGCCTGAGGCCAAGGCTGCCCTGGTGCTGAAGGACAGCTCCCAGTTTAGCTGCTGAATAGTACTGAGCTAGGAGTGTGTCTAGAAGGAGGCAAGGCAGTGCACTAAGACGGGTAGTAGTGGTGGGGTGTCGTTTTTTTGCCCTTAGGAAGATTTCAAGCAGCCTCCCCCAAAATCCTGTCCTAGCTTCCTGGCTCCCCCTACAGGCTGCTGAGAATAGCTGAGCGCCAGAGTTAGAGAAGCTGCGCCGGGTGGAACCATGTGCTTGGGGCTTATAGAGTCACATGGCTCTAGGAACTCGGACATACAAATGTCCTGCCGCGCTACTAACCTTGTTTGGACTTCACAAAAATCACAGGTCTCCAGTGGTCTACGTCCTTTCTTCATTCCCTTTCCTCTGTAACTCTCTCCTTGTAGTTTTTAAGGGATCACTGCAGCAGAGATTCGTCACTAATCATAACAATGGAGAAAAGAGTCTTTATTGAGCAGCGTTCAACTTGCTAGATACTGCACTTGGCACTTTAACTTGCTTTATTCTTCTAAGCTTACTTATGAGATGGATGTTAGCGTTCCTTCATTTGCATACAAGGAAGCTGAAGGTTAGTGTCCTTAAACCGCCCAAGACAACCAGTGCATCTCAGACAGAAACCCAGGGAGTGTGTCCCTAGAACGCTCTACAGTTCCAGGAAGGCTATAGAAAGATGAAGGAATAGAAGACACAGACCAGCCCTAAAGGAAGCGACAGTCTTTGAAGTAAGGAAGTGAGACTTACATATTGGCTAGTAGAATTTATGGATAGAGTTGGGTTCAAGTAATACTTCTAAAACTGGCCATGCTTTGTCCTCATTTTGGCAACGCGAGGGGATGCTAAGGGCTAAATGAGATGGGTGGGAACTGTTGGCACTACTCAGAGGAAAACTGCAAAGCATGCATGGAAACTTTCTGAGCGGGTGCTGGAAGAGGAACTGGTCCCTAAAGAAGTGATGAAGTTGGGTGGGTGAGTGAGAAGGACATTCCAGATGAAATGAGAAGGAAAAAATTTTCAGCAGTAGAAAGCAACCATGTATGTGTGTGAATGTGGTAGTTTAGACTTTAGAGGCAAAGTAAAACAAGATATGGCAAAAGGAAAAAACTGTCAGACGTTCACAAGACTTATTCATTCATTATATTTGAGCACTTCATGGACCTACATAGGATGTAATTGTTCAGACACAGCCTTGCTATGGGAGTACTTGCTGTTGAATTGGGAAAGTAGTCATTAAAGAAGGGATTGTAGCCAAATATGAAAGAATGGTATCAACGAGAGGTCTCCTTCCCATAGAGAGATGAACTAGTCATCTCTGGAAGCTTTCCTCAGAGGCAGTTTTGCCATAGCCAGGCGAGTTGGAAAACATCTACAGAGAATGTATTAAATTCCATGTGCCATACTGCCTAACAGTGATACAGATGTGAGTACAATGTGTGTCTTAGGATAGAAAGGATAGTTGAGGTGCTAAGGGATAAATGGGTTTAGACTAAAGAGAAAGTAGAGAAGGTGGTGATGAAGGGTATCGCAGGAGAAGGGAAGTCATGTATAAGGGTGTAGAAGCGAAGCTAGGAAAGACACGGTAGAAACCTACAAAGTAGCTTGCTGCAGCTAGACGCAAAGTGGGAACACTGCCAAAATGAAGACTGAGCATTTTGCGGGAACCTAATCATGAGGATCCTGGACTTTATCCTAACTAAGGGTACCTGAAGCCACAGAAAAGGCTGGACAATTTTTGAGAGGAGATATCTGATCAGATTTGTATTTTCAAAGGATTGACTTGGTTGCGGCATGGAGAGTGCATTGGAGGGGCAAGGCTGGCCGCAAGGAGACAAGTTAGAAGACTGTTTAGGAGTCCAAGTGAGAGGCATTGAGGACTGGACAAAGACAGCATCAGCTGGAGTGGGAGAAAAATGTGCTTGGGAGGAGAATGAACGAGGTGTGATTAATGGGAAGGACCTGGAACTGGCCTAGATGTGAGAAGCAGAAGGAGGGTGAAACTAAAGAGCTCCATTAGTGACACCGGCAGACCTGCTCCTTCCCACCTAGGAACGGTCTTTGGGAGCTCTTCTCTGTTTAGTCTTTGGAAGATTCAATGTTGTGATTCATAGAGAAGGCTAATGGCTACAGATGTCTAGTTTAGAGCTGATTGGCAGGCCCGTGGTGATTGACACCCTCTCTTGCCAATTGAAAGAGCAACCTGCCTGGCCCAGGCTATTTACACTGAGCACCTCTGGAGCTTTCTGTGAGAAGTCACTCAGGCAAGACTCCCTCTATCCCTGTATACACAAGGAGAAAAGTGTCTCACAGAGGTCCATTTATCATAGGAGCACAATATCACAATGGCTTCCGCACACAGCACCTGGTACACACAAAGGAGAAGTGGTAGCACACTAGCAGGCAGAGGGCGATCTCATTCTCTCACTTTCGATTACACTGGAAGGAGGAATGGGGGTGGGGAAAACATTGGCCTCTGCTGGAGCAAGGAAGCCAAGGTGAGAAGCAGGAGTGGAGCACTCTGATCTCTGCACCCGGAAAACTCCAGTCATCCTTTTTTTCTAGCTCTTGCCATCTAGATGCACTCCAAGCGGAGACCAGAGGCTGAAGGATAGTCTTGCCTGAAGGGATACACACTATCCAGGAAGAGCATCCTTAAACTAGACGACTTGGAATAGAGGGAGGAGGGAAAGGTTTCCATGGTGAAACACTTACAATAGGAAGAAGACAGTGGCAACTGTTTGAAGAGATCAGGTCTTTTAAAAGTCATGGGCACAAGCAGGAAAGACGAGCATGCAACAGAGGGTGAATTCAAAAGGAGTGTCAGGGTGGCTAAAGCACAGTGTGGGTTAAAGTTTGTCACACTCTCTATCACATTGCAGGACACCTTCTCCTTCCATAATCTGAGGATTTTTTTTTTCTGTCTACACCCCACACCTATACAAACATGAGAAGGCTTCAAGTAAACACAGTGTGCCTCAACTCCCAACCTGGAATACAGCATCAGTTTGTCCTTTTACTGCTGTTCCGAGTTTGGTCCCAAGTTTCCCAATTCTCTGCCTTATTCTCCCCATGTCTTTTGACTTCAACCTTGAGTCTCACATCCTATACCCAAGCTCCAGCTTCATACTTATCGCCTAGCAAGTCTCAGTCTTGGTCATGCTCTTCTACCCCGCCATCTAGGGAGGAAGTACTGACCCTGAACCTGAAGCTTAACTCCATTGCAGATGCCTCCTGGCAGGACCAGTTGCCTATGTATTGCCTAAGTAGCCCCTTTTTTGATTTCTAGAGTCCTCTTTGCCTTCATTTGGATCCTTAGTTTGTTATTACTTTGTTCCAGTTAGGAATGTCCTTGGCTACAAATAATAAACAAGTCTACAGCTGTAGCTTAAACAGATAAATATTTATTTGCTTCATTTAACAAAGTTTCCTTGGTCCAGGGCTACTGGGGCAGTTCAATAGCATTCTTGACACCAGGGCTTCTGTCAGGTGTGGTGGTGCATTCCTACCGTCCCATTACCTGAGAGGGTGAGCCCGGAGGATAATGCAGTTGTGGCTAACCTGAACAGTGTAGTGTATTATCAACACTCACCCCAACAGAAAGATCCCTGCTTTTCATTTCTACTCTTTTTAATGTAGGCTTCCATTCATTTGCATTGTGCTTTAGGATCACAAGATAGCTGCTTCAGCTCTGGGTTTCTTGTCTGTATTCTAGACAGAAGGAAAGGAGCACACTGGATGGGAAGAAGACTAAAGGCAGAGATCAGTTGACAGAGCCTTTGCTTTTTAATTCACAATGATGTCCTGCACCAAGTGACATCCACCTGCACCTCTTTGACTGCAGCTAGATTATACGAACATTCTAAACCACAAAGGAAGCTGAGAAATACAGTATTTTATTTTTTAATATTTTTTGCTTAGCACATTGCTGCTCTGAATAATTGTGGTAATCTGTAACTAAGGAAGAAGAGGAGAATCCTTAATGGACAGGAAACTGGTTGACCTCCAACCATCAACAGCTTGCCTATACCGTCTTTTGTCTGTAACTAAACTCTGTTGATACGTGGCTATGATTGCTGCACTGGACTTTCTCCTAGCAATTACAGCTGGTTTGTTCCTCTAGCATAGGATAGAAGATACCTGCCTGGTTTAACAGCAGCATATGTGAAAAAGACCTTGATTTGATTGTAAAGTCAATGTGAGCCAACTGAGTGATGATGCTGCCAAAAAAGCTAATTAGATTTTTAGGCTGCATTAATAGAAGTATAGAACCAGAACAAGAGAAGTGATGCTCCTGCCCTTCCCTACACTTGTCACATCCTACCTGGAGCACTATGAACCATTCTAGACAGCCCATTTCAGCTGGGGTACAATGACAAAGTGCAAGATGTCCAAAAGTGAGTTACTAGGCTGGTATAACAGCAGCAACACCATATGGAAAACTGTTGATAGCTCTGGGCACGTTCAGTCTAGAGGTAAACAGACTCAAAGAAGAACACAGCATGACGGAAGGTTGAGAAGTGCTCATTTA